AAAACTCGTACCAATTCCCTAGTATTTTTGCATTATTTTGAGCTGTCAGTTATATAAAATTATAGTTTCGAGAGCTGCATCAACTATTAAATTGATCCTGTCATGGAATTGAACCGCCTTATCAATATAACTATATTATTGAATAAGTCAATTATAGTTTAATAGTTTAATCAGTAGCCGCACAAAATGTTCTGAGCAAAACTGAGCTTGGACTCTTGGGAATACAAACATATTTTTTCAATTAAACTAGAACTTGTTTTATTTCATTTTACAGTCACTTCTTTATGAGTAGCCCAAATATTAGTCACAGGCTTTTGAAACTTACTTCTCAATGGATATATGGTACTTGTATTCCACCGATATATGTATTTCACACTTTTAAGCGTTTCACAAGTTTTAAAACACTTTTCCAAAAGGGCTCCAAATGGCTGGTAAGGTAGTCGAAACGTTTTTGTCGAGGCACACGTGCCTTACGCGCACCACAAAAATGCTGTTAACTGATTGAGCGCCAATTGAGTACTCATCAAGCTATCGCGAGCGCCTCCAAGGGTTCCGCTTCCCTTTCTGTGGGATTCCTTGGGGTCCTCCTCCTCCTTCTGCCTTGGTGGCAATTGACACAAATTCCGCGAAAGGCGGAAATACGCAACTAATGCGCCTTCGGAGGGAAAGTTAATCAGAGCCTAACAATGCGTCCAAGTGGAAGGGACCGCCCTCTGAACTGTCTGGATTCAAGGAACTAAACCAACTGAGCGCCAACACAGGACTCGATACAGTGCCAACTTACATAAAGACACAGGCGAAGGATGGATGGCTTCTCTTGCGACCATTAGGGTCTCTGTTCCGTCTCGAAACTGCAGTTTTGCATAGCTCCCAGAGGCAGGGTTTGGGGTAGAATAAACATTGAATTAACAAATTCCTGGTTGCCCCCAACAACCGCGATTGATTGCGCGCCACGCTCCCCAGTCGGCAGGGAAGCCTCTGGTGCCGCCAGAGAGTGGAACTCCACTCACAATTATGCTTTTGGCGTGACAGCGAGCAACAAATGCAAATCGTGCCTCAAAGCATACTCCGAATGCGGTCGGTTGGGCCCAAGGAAAGCGCTTAGATCATGGTAGATGGGGTGTACGAGCGGCAACGTTGCAAGTCCCTATGGTGGTCATATTCATGTTCATGCCCAACCGCGTTTAATAAGTCAATGAGCAGGGCAATAAATTGAGCCGGAGCTGGAGGCTCTGCCAATGCACTTAACCCTTTTTCATTTGATTTATTTCCATTGAATAACTATCAGATAAACCCCTACCAGGTAACCTGTGCAAACATGAAACATTAATTGGGGAGGAAAGTAAAAGCAGATCGAATGTAGAGGTAATTTAGGGACTTGCTGACTCTAGCAATACAAAAAGAACTTCAGAAAACATAAAAATTTACGAAGAGTGCACGGTCGTTAAAAATGGCAGCCACCGAAACTCTCTAGATTTTCCATTTCGCTGCCGACAAACATGGGACTTTGCACTTTTTGATAATACACTCGAAAGAGCATTTGGTGTTGAAGCAAGAGGACAGTGTCAAATGACAAGTGACAGGAGGACACTAGCCAGATTGAATAGGTATAAAGGAAAATTAATGTGCAAAAAACACCAAAACTACATTCTGACAAAAGAATACTCGAAATTGCAGGAAAGCAAGAAAGAGTCACTAAAACTTGTGACCATCTTTAACCCCAATCAAAAAGGAAAATGAAAATATATCAAAGATCAAGGATGAATTGTAAAAAGGAATTATTGGTGTCAAAAATAATAAGCACACTTTTCTATACAAATACTTATTGCAAATAATTGATTAAAGTACTTTTTGATATAAAATCATCATTAAAACAAAGTTTATATATTCGGGGTGGGTATAGACGGGAATAGAAGAACCCATGGACATGAAAATCGTCATGAATAATGAATTTTCCATGTAATATTCAAAACTCTTTAGAAAAATATATTCACGAATGAAGCAACGCATCTAAATTTTCTAACCCTTCTGAACTACAAATAATACTAATAATAATCGAAGAAGTCAAGCGCATCCAACTTTACGTAGCATGGAAGCACTGTTTTCAGTGTTGGTTACAATTGTGTGTTTGAAAGGAGACTTTTTGCGATGTCGCCTTTTTAGCGACTTTTTCAGTGCTGCCAATTATTTAAGGGACTAAGACGAGCAGACGAGAATGAAGAGGCCGGGGCTGGCGTCATTAGCAAATATCTGACCGTCATGGTTTCGTCCAGCTATTCTGAGTGTGAGTAAGAGACGGAACGGAAACTCATACCTGTCTTTGCAGATATGTCCGCTGCTTGGACTGATGTCGTGGAATTCTGGATGGCGATATTTGATTATAGTGTGATCCTGGCCTAGGGAGCGTTCCTAAAAACGCAGAAGCGTCTACAGCTAAAGGCAGAAAGCACTACATATCTTTATCGTTTTCTTTTCTACAGAAATGATAAGTTTCACCAAGGAAAATTTGCTTATGTATTTAACTAGTAGCAATAATTTATCTTTAATTTACATTAAACTATTTCCTCATACCATGTCAATATATTTGTGGAAATTCCTTGAGTACATAGAATCTTTTGATTTGTTTTCTTATTATATCTTTCCAAGATTATCTTGGAACATTTCTTATCTATATTTTATTCCGTTTTCAGATGTTACAACTATTCCTATTCCTGCTAATAATGTGTATGACTCACTTATATTATTGACATTCATCTGTTAATTAAAATCATCGATTTCTTTTCCATAGAAGTCATATTTAAAATGAAACCATATAGTCATATTGGCATCCCATCTTTGTTCGACTTTCTCTCTCAACATTTCCTTACACTTTTTATAGGGCCGTCCAGTTGTTTTCTTATGAAATTTACAGATGTGCCACCTGTACGAGTATTATCTCCCACCACGTAATCCTCAAATCGGAACGAAACATTTCATGATTTGTGTTTTTTTTTTTGCGACCACAGAGATGCAAATGTCAAAATGTTTCCTGGCACAGGTTGCGGCGAATGCGAATTCGAATGCTATTGCGATGGAGAGCTGCCTGCCTGCCTGCCTGCCCGCATGCCATTTCGCTGAGCCCAGAGTCTGGTGGCCTGGGGATGCGGGAGGTTATCGCCATCGTATTCCCGTATCAGAGAACTGCATACACATGCATCTGTACAAAGATCTGAAGCATCTCCTATTTCTATATGGCAACCAAAGCCCAAAAAGCAAAAACCAAATCAAACCAATGCCCAAACACAATGAAATGGCAAAAAGATCAGCAGCAACCAAAAAAGAAAAACATAAATAAAATTCAAATTTAAATGCTGTGTTATCAGCTGTATGTTGGCTTTAACCTAAGAAGGCGACCTTGAGGAGATACTACCAACAAATACGACAGGTACACAATATATATAGAACATTCTATATAGAATATAGATATGGAAATCCAGAACAACATCCACTATATAGGATGCAGTAGACTCTCAAAGTCCACTAGATTGGTTATGCATTTCAAGCAATTAAGGTGTTTTGTTTGCCATCACTTTCAGTTTTTAATCTACGGTCCGAACCAGAACCGATCGACTACTATGTGTAGGTGTGAGATTATTTTTCTTCGAAGCATAAGTTTCGCCCTCCCTCTGTTGTTGCGCTCCGTCGCGACGGACGTTGCTTGTTTAATGAGTGTTGGTTGGGTTCATAGTCAGACTCTTATCAGGCGGCGGCAAGTCGGAAAGCCAAGAGCCGTAAAGACTGTAAATGGGATTGAACACACTCGTTCGTACCTTATATAGTACGTATTCCGAGAGACAGAACAAAGTTCACTTTTTGCCACTAATCTGATTCGTTGAGGATGTGCATTGGCCAGAGGAGAGGCTCCATCGCTCCAACGCTCCTGCGCTCCTACGCTCCCATCGATGGGCAGATGGTTCTTCTTGTTGGCTGGCATACGTGCACCCAAGTGGGGCGCCCGTCCCGCCCGAACCTTCAATCTGCAATCAACAAATGTTGCGCCCCACGGCAACCGGGATGATTTATACACCAGCGATCATCAAAGATCACAGACGGACGGATGGGAATCTGAGGCCTCTCTGCCTCTATAGTGGTGGCGGTGGCGACAATAGCTTTAATACTTGGGTAAACATATCATCATCATCGTCTGTCCACACACACACATTTAAAGCATTGTCTGATCATTCGTGTGTGCTGTACGAGTATGTGGTAGCTAATTAGTACACTGAGAGAATGATTAATATTTTATTGAATTGAAATAAAATATTCAATTCGCATTGGTACGTTAATTAGGCATCGTTAAAAAACACATAAAAAATAAAACAACAAGTTTTTAAATTCAATACTTCGTTGAAAATAGCCTTAAAAAATGATCAACTTTTCATTTTAAAACTTTATAATACCCAGTCCTTAAGCTCAAGATACAAAGTTGTGTAAAACCGTTTAATGACGGCTGATAAAGTTCTTCAAATCAAGATTTAGCATATTCAAGTTATGTGGGAAAAAAGCAAGCTAACCTCTAAAGAAAAATTTAAAAAAAATATACATGTAACATTTTTTAAATCCTGCAGAAATCAACCCTAACTGCACAAATCTATACTCAATCACTTACAAGGGTACTTAAAGCTTTCTAAACACACTTCCATGTAGCCATTTTGGTTCCTAAGAGGCACCCTACACTGATAAGATTTTTCTAGATTCTATATACGTATAGTACATGCACAAGACATTTTTGCGCAATAGAAATTACCTTAGAAACTATTAAGAAACAGATTTAGTAATCGATGGAACTGCAATAAACTAATCAGAGCCCGATAAAGACCCACCTGAAGATAATCAATCAGGCATCAAAAAGTGGTTGCGTTTTTTTAAAGTTTTCTGCCAGTGCATAGGTATAGGCAATGCCCATTAGTTCGGACATGTGTCTCTGGGTCGTCTGTACGCCTGTACGACTGTACGCCCGTACGTCGTCGTTGTGGGGGGATGGTTGGTTATCATTAATACGATGCGATGCGATGGCGAGCCGTGCATCTTAGCTTTAAAGTATAGCTCCTATTTGAAACGCGCTTTAGTCACATTTCGAATTTCGCCAGCAACAGTACCGAAGCAGTCCAGAGCGAAGCGCGAAAGATTGAATAGTTGAACGCTTGAAGATTACACGGAGTCTCTGTCTGTCCGCTGTCCCGTGAGTCAGGTGTCAGAGTGTGTCAGAAGTGTGAGTGTGTGGCGAAGTGTGTTTGTGAAGCAAAGAGATGTCCCAGACCCTGGACGATCTGCTGTTGCGGCAGGAGCACGCCCGGCAATTGCGTCAGGTGAATCGCTCCAAGTTTCGTCGCATCAATTCCCTGGACCTCATACCGGAGCATCCCAGCCAAGACGAGTCGGAGGATGAGGATGGTGCCGCTGCCGCTGCCGCTGCCGCTGCACCCCACAAGCATTTTGTGGCCCTGCGGCGCCAGCGCACCGCCGATGGTAGTCTGCTGCGCAGCCACTCCCAATCCCAATTCCAACAATCCCAGGAGCGTCCACTAGGCACTCGCATGCTGCTCTTTGGGCCCCAGCTGCTGATGCGAGTCCTGCTGACGCTGCTCCGCTACATCCTCTACATCCCACTGTCCATAGCGGCGCCCAGTTTCTGGCTATCGGCTCTGCTTTGGATCTTCTGGAAACTCCTGAGAGTGCCCATTGCCATGGTCAAGTGGCTGCTCAGCGGCGACGAGGATGTGGCCACGCCGCAGCGACAGCGAACGATACTCCTGAGCTGTGGCAGCACCATTCAGACCCTGCATTTGGCCCGAAACTTCTACGGATCTGGTGCCCGCGTTGTGGTCTTTGAGTTCGAGGGACTCTTCGGACTGGCCCGCTTCTCCACGGCCGTGGACAAGTTCTATGTGGTGCCTCGACCCACCAGCAGCAATGCGGACCAGTACATTGCCGCTCTGTGCCACATTGTGAAGAAGGAGCGTCCGGCCGTCTATGTGCCAGTGTGCGCCACCAGTCCCGCCTACTACGATGCTCTGGCCAAGCCCCACCTGGAGGTGCTCGGCTGCGCCAGCTTTGTGCCCAGCGTACAGGAGACCCAGCAGCTGGACGATTGCCTGCAGCTCTACCAGCGCTGCGAGGCCCAGCAGATGCCACTGCCGGCCCATGTGGTTCTTACGGCTCCGCGGCAGCTGCAGCAGATCTACGAGAGCGGATTTGTGGGCAGCTATCGGAACATCCTGATGGCCGCCGGGATGCAGGGGGTGCTGGAGCGGCACAAGTACATTCTGCCCAATCGCAGGGCGGAGCTAAAGTTCAGCCAGCACGAGATAAGCGATCGGCAGCCCTGGCTGGTGGTCAGAGATCAGCCCGGCTATCATCACTATGTGACCTGCACCACCGTCAAGGACTCACGTGTGGTGGCCAACGTGAGCTGCCGGGTGGAGCATCACACCAAGAATCTGGTGCCCTGCCGGCGCGACGATGAGACCCAGATCGAGATCTGGCTGCACTCGTTCTTTGCCAAGGTGCGCTTCCAGCGCAGCATCAATGGACACATTAGCTTTCGGCTGGTGAAGTCCCCCACCCATGGCGGACAGTTTGTGCCGCTGGGCACCAGGCTGGGCGTGGCCCTGCCCTACATCTGCCACAATCGTTCGCATGCCCAGCTCCTGTGCCAGGCCATGAAGTGCATCCATCGGCGGGGCCTGCCCGAGGACGATCTGACCAACTGGAGCTGGTCGTCGCTGGAGCGTAGCACTTCGACGACGGCGCTGGACAAGCGGGAGGCATTGTTTGCCTACTGGGATCCGTTGCCATATTGCGCCTACTATCACTTCCAGCTGCCGCTCGAGTCCGTCAAGCTGTTTTTGCAGCGCCGGAATCGCGATCGCGCCACAACCAAAAGTTTATCGCCCCGCATCACGGTGCCGGTTCATTGAACGACGGCCCACCAATGGGGGATGGGGGATGGGGAGCCACTGCAGCCGGATGCGGTTGGGGGGAGGGGAGGGGTGGGGAATGGAACCGCGAGAGCGAGAGAGAGAGATTACACAGACTGATCAATAATAAAAATATATATTTGTATATATATTTTTTGCATTTTTTTACTTTTTTGTTGACTTGAAACGCGCGCGCACGCATCAAATGGGGTTCAACATCCATCAAATGAAGATTAGGCTTAGGACTTAATACTCGTAGAGTTACAAACAAAAAAACATGTACCCGTATATATGTACATATGTACATATTTAATATATACACTTATAGTTCGTTAGATTTGTACAATAAATCATATTTATATTTTAATTACCCATTTGACTTATTTTTTCATTTGTTTCTGTTTTTCCACCATTTGGCAGTTTTCTTTGCCACTTCGCCGCTTTGCAACGCACTTCTTTGTTTCACTGAAAATCGAATAGAACTGACCGCTTCCAAAGGATATACTCATGGAAGCGTGTGTCCTTGTCAGTGGTGGTGGTTTTGGTCACGTTTTTGTTGATGTTTTGGCCTTCTTTTCGGTTACCTGGCAACGGCTTTAGGTCAGTTTTGTTTGTGGTTAGTGGTAACAGAGTCATTTGCTTCCTTATAAATGGTGGGCAGCGAAAGAGAGGGTGAAATAACAGAAATTACAAATTTGCATAATTATAATGCACGCTTTTGCTTATTCAAGCGGTTAGCTCAAGCATGGTAGTTCATAGTTCTTCGAACAGATCTATCCCTCAAAGGAAATTTGATTTCATTTTCAAATTTAAATTTGAAAGCTAACCGCTAATTTCTTATCAAGATCCTGTTGAAATTTCTGGATAATTTGCGAAAGTTTTGACAACCATAAAAGTGTCATCTCTAAGTGCTATTGATATTGGAAGATATTGACCATTTACGGTACATTATTAACTGTTTTCTATTTTTTGACGTCGAAATTGAGTTGAAGGTATTTTTATATAATATTTATATTCAAGCAATGTCATCAGTCTATTAAATTAGCTTTAACATCCTTGTAACTGATTAGCTTTCAAACAATTTCCATTTGGCGCGCAACAGTCGATAGTATCGGTAGGCTTTTGGTAGGATATTTGCAACCAACAAATTTAGTTGATACCTGTATAGATACCTCCTATACAATATTTTCAAGTTTTCTTAACAACATTAAATTTGCATGGCCCAGACTCATGGTGATACTTAGTTTACAATCAAATCCAATAAAAAGGGGTATTTAAAAAATGCTAGTGTTGTAGGAAATTGATTTATTAATCAGATTCAATTATGAGTTCAGAGCTGAGGGTCTTAGCTAGCTAGTAATATGCAACCGAATATCAAAAACAAGGAATATGATGCAACTTGAATACAAATAATTCGTCAGTATTTAACGGTATGTTTTTACATTTTTGGCATACTTTAGGTATATTTCTGAGGGTCAGACCATATATCATATCGATAATTCCGAAAAGAAGAACAACAATAAAATCCACACGTAAAACAATGAAAAACGGCCCGAAGGACCCGTCAGGCGGCGGTGGCGCTGGGTATCGTCCTGCCCAGGCGGACAACAATCTGTCCAACGTCTCCATACACATTGAAAGCGACGACAATGACTCAACAACAGCGGAGAGCGAGTATCTGCTGCCAGCAGCACCGTCGATGACCTCTACGACGACGGGCGGCAGTGGGACGGGTGGTATGGGTTCCGGTCTGGATTCCATTGGCCACAATCCACCAACAGGTCGCAGCAGCAGCCTTAGCGCTGGCCCGCGACACGGAAACATTCTATCCTCATTCCTGGCCCGTCAGCGCTCCTACACACCGACCGTCAGCTCACCCGTCCGTGTGGCCACACAAATGAATCGTCGCCTACAGCAGTCCCGCAGCATGGGTGCCAACAACAGCCTGGAGGAGCCACTGCCCAGCCCGAGCGGCGGGCCATTGCCTGGACCTGCATCCGGCTCGCCCGCTGGCGTACGACAACTTGGTTTCTGGCGTGTAAATCTGAATGATGTCTTCTCCTTGTCCACGGCCCCATCGACTGAGGCGCTGCGCTCCTTTATCACACATTCCAACTTCCGGTACCAGCCAGCAGCAGCAGCAGCGGCATCTGGAAATCCGCCACCTGCGTCATCACCTGTGGACAATGCTCACATTCTTCTGAGCAATCAGCAGCCAAATGCCGAAGTTGTGGGCACTTCTCCCCTAAGGATCGGTCGAGTAGGGCACGGACTTAATGCCACGAGCAGTGCCAGTGCCATTATGGGACGCAGTATTTCATTGCGCGAGGGCGAAATGCGTCACAGCCTCGCGGGTGCGCGACACAATGCCAGCGTCATGGAGCTGCACAGCAATCCGTCAGCCTACGAGGAGAGCGAGGATGAACACAATGCGAATTTAGATCTTGGCGATGGCAATCTTAGCGGAGGACCATTGGCTGGAGCTGGAGATGCGGCTGCAGTAGCGAATGGCGGCGGTGGCAATGGCCAGGCAGAGCCCCCCGAACACCAGGGGGAGGATGAGCAGCTTATTTCCGACGACATGGTCGTGCAGATCCTCAGCCATTTCGTCCGGTATATGCCTCTCATCTTTATACTCCTAATCAAATTCATACACGATCATTTGCTGGGCATTGTGGATCTTCTGGTGCTGCAGACTGTGATGTACAATGTCAATCGATCGGTGCGGAATCAGGTGTCCCGCCTGGCACAAAAGAAGTACTCTTCGATGCTGCGTGACGTTTGTCTCATTACGATAGTGGTCACGGTGCGTTTGTTTCTGGCCACATCGGCGCCGGATCCGTTTGGTCTAATTGTGCCGCCGCCAAGGAAATATTTCACCTACGCCATACCCTATAAGACAGAGCCGGGGACAGTCCCCAATTTTGGTCCGCTGTCTGCAAATCCAACGACCTCGTCCTCGGAGACGCTCAAGGCGGTCGTTACCACGGACACGTATGAATCCGAGAAGGTCATACCGCTGGGAATGCTGCTGTACTACATAGCCGTCAGTGATCTCATCATCAAGCTGCTCACGATGCTCATCAAACTGGCCATCACCATGCTGCCCAATCATGTGATGCGCTTCAAAGTGAGGGTAAGCGTGGAGTCCTATAGATTCCCCATTCTCTATCTTATAACCTCTTGTGACTCTTCTTATTCAGGCCCGACTTTATGTCCTGGTGGAATACATCTCACAGTTTTATCGAGCCCTAACACCCATCACACAGTGGTTCATGTTCCTCTACGAGTCATATTCGGGCCTGGAGGTGGTTTCGGGCGGCCTCTTCTCCGCATTATACCTGGGAGCAAAGATCTTTGAGCTTGTGGAGCGTGCCAAATCGTTACACAAATCAGTTGTTACCTTCAGACGGAATATTGTACGTTGGATCCCATATTCGTCAAAGCTTTTCCCATATCTTATCATTATGTTTTGTTCCTTGTAGGACTCTGAGCGTCCGCCCACTAAAGAGGAACTAGATGCCGCGGGCTCTGTCTGCCCCATCTGCCATGATACGTTCAACACGCCCATAATCCTAGAGTGTGGACATATTTTCTGTGATGAGTGCGTGCAAACGTGGTTCAAGCGCGAGCAAACGTGCCCCATGTGCCGTGCCAAGGTTAGCGATGACCCCGCCTGGCAGGATGGCAGCACCACATTCTTCCATCAGTTGTACTAGGGCTCCCCTCCCCCAAAGAAATGTTTTTGCATATTTCACGTGTATATAAATAGTCTCCGAGCTAGCATTTGTTTATTAAACTGACAGTTATTAATTAATACTAATTCTTAAGGGTTTTTCTGTACTGTTTTACTTTGGTCATTATTTTTTGCGACGAGCCGCGTCGAGAGATCGGGATTCGTAGTACTCGCCATCGCCACGTGTGGCCTTTTTATTGATGTCCGTGTGGCGCTCTTTACTCACGATTTCCTCCAGCACCTCACTGTCGCCCTTGATGAGGCGTATGCGACCGGTCACGGGATCCACTTCGCGACGTATCTGACTCTGACGGCGCTGGTATTCCTCCGGTGTCTCGGGCGCATGGGATTTGCTGTTCATCAGTGCTTAAATTTTTTGGTGGGGATATTCAAACAAGACACACACGTAATATACAAGAACCTTAGTGTTACGATGGGGAATACGGACCTATTGGTATGGCAAAGTCTTCATCGCTGCTAATGTCCGGCGGTGGAGGTGGCGGCGGCGCTTGGGGCGGCGGAGTTGCGTCCTTTTGCTTGGTGTGCTTTTTAGATTTCCTAGACTTGTGCTTCTCCTTGTGCTCCTTGCGCTTCTCCTTGTGCTTTTTCTTTGATTTCTTCTCGCTTTTACCCATTTTTGTAAGGCCGTAAGATGTAAACAAAACGAAAAGAGATTTGACAGCACTCGAACGTCGATACCCTGCTAATAGTCACGTGCACTATTTTGGGCTATATTGTTCACGAGATAATTGCTTTTCGATTTGTATGCTATTATATATTAGTTTTCCCGAGAAAAGCATATAGAACAAACACTCCGAATTATTGCCAATTTCCTGAGCACCTTTAATAGACTCCAAAATTCATGTTTGAACGGAATTGCCCACCAAAATATAGGGTATTCTTCTTCTTTTTCTTTCGACGAATTATCGATAGTTTCACAGCCCATTTCAATGTTTTCCCATATTTTACGTGTATGTATATTTGTTTATTAAACATACAGTTATTAATAAGAATTTTTAAGTGTTTTTCTGTGGCTATTTTACTTTGCTTATTATTCTTTACTCACGGTTTAATTGTTATCGAATAAACTATTTTTATTTATATACCGTAAATATACCGTCCGTTCAATTTTTACCTAAACAAATACCGAAAAGTATTAAAAATACCGAAACGGTCACCCAGGTTGTCAAGCTTTGACGTTATCATTGTTATCGAATAAATTATTTTTATTTCTTATCTGATTTGTCACTAATTTAAATAATTAATAAATAAAAACACTGTTTTGTTATTATTAAGAAAAAGTTGTTTTTTTTATCGGTATATTTACGGTATATTTCGGTATTTTTCTGAGGGTCAGCGCCGCGTGGAAGGTGGACCGCAAGTGGAACGTAATTGGACGCATGTTGTGTACAAAAAGAAACGTCAAAACTGCAGCGCTTTAACCAAAACGAATCAGATAAAAAACAAGAAAAATCCATGAAATTCACGATTGGCGGACAAACTCATTTGCAATTGTTTACAACGGAATAGTGATAGTTCCCCACTCAAAGCGGCGGCCCCCCAGGCACCTAGGCGACAGACGATAGACGTATTTTTGTGGTGTGTGGAAGGTAGAATCATCCATCACATACGCACACACACACACACACACATACACATACACACGCTCGCTCTACTATTTCACGCAGCAAAGGAGCTACAATTTTGAAAGAAGAATCCGTCAGTGGAAGAGGAAGCTACGCTAAAATCAAGTACAACTACAATTTAAACGAAAAGGCCAAAACCGTCACAGTAGCAGAGGAGGCAGAGGATCCACACAATAGCATTAGAAGCAGCAGCATTAACATCATCATCCAAGCAACAGCGCCACCGGAGCAGCAGCAGACCCAGCAGCAAGATCCACAGATTCCAAAGCCAGGAGAAATACCAGCAATATCGCAGCAATACTAGTGCCACCAGCCCCAGCCCCAGAGCCCCCCAAATCATCAAAGATGAGCATGGAAAAGGTTGCAACCAAACAATATGAATCGTAAGTGGCATCTCCCACAAATTAGGCCAACAACACACACGCACATCTCCCTCTTTGGCCCATTGGCCGATGCGATTGTTAGGTTATGTTCTTATGGCATCTATATGCACCACTATAGCCCCCAGGTCTGTTTATTCGTCGATGATCGATTCAACGCCACGCCACAATAGATGAGAGAAAGAGCAGAGGAGAACAAGGAGAGCGGAACGATCACTGATCCTCTTCGGACTGGCGGAAGAGTACATCGGCCGCCAGCTCTTCATTCTTGTTGCAGGCCAAGTAGACCTGTACGGCCAGGTCGTGCTGGAAGCCCAATGCCGTCAAACGATCCACGGCAGCCGCCTCTGCGGCAGTTAGTGGCGTCTGCTGCGCGCTGTCAGCCTGTTGTGGGAACTCGTCATCGTCGCTTAGGACGCTTAGGTCATAGTTCAGCAAGTCAACGAACTCTCCATGGTGGTTGCGTAAAGCCTCAAACACTTCTGGATTTGACCCGCTCATCTGACCAAGAATTGCCTCCAGCTGATCAGGATTCTGGAGTATCATTTCGCGCACCTGTGCAAACCGTGGATCGGACATCAGAGGTGCCAGATTCACGGCCATTTCGGCCACCGAGGGACTAACACTGACGGGCGATGCAGTTCCACTGGCGGCCTCTGATGGAATTTGCGCGATCAGATACTCGATGGCAAGCTCCGGATGATTGAAGCTGGCACTTAGAGCGGCGCGCACTGGCATTTCCTCGTAGCCCATGCCCATCAGACGCTGGACCATTTCTTCGTTTGGTGCCACCGAGGACGTCGGATTCCCTCCTCCTGTAGCATAAGTTTCAGCACCTGTATCCCCTGATGTCGCACTTCCAGCACCTGTTGCAGCAGAAGCCGTCTCTTTGGGTTTCTTCTCCAGTTCAACCTTTGTCACCTGTTGGACCTTCTGCTTGCCCATCATCACCAGAAATTTGTCCTCAGCAATCTTGTACTCGCTGAGTGGCAATCCATCCTCCATGATGCGTCCCCCGTAGATCAGTTGTAGACTGTCCACTGACTGGGATATCCCCGGCATGCTGACCAGCCTCTTTTTCAGGGCCAACACGTTCTGCCCCTCGTCCATCTCAAGGGTGATAACGCGCTGGTCGAGTGTACGAATCGACAGCTTCATACCTGCTTTTAGAAATATTGTTTAAGAAATTTATGTGTCGATTTTTGAATATTTTGATGCCAAACTGCGTGAATGACTGACCTGCTGACTGTAAAGTAAATATTTCGGGGGATTTGTAGTCGTCGGCCAGGAGAGATCGATGTTCAGGAAATATGAAAACAAAAAAGCCTCACTAAAGAAATATTAAATGTGCTATGTCTTCGTATTTCAGGAAAGTCTGGCCGGATCTTGTCGACAGTGACGACAGCGACGTAGAGAATGAAATAGATGTGGAAAAATTACCGCCGCTGGAGGTGGGGCCCAATGAGAATCGCCTGCAGCACACATACTGCCTTTGGTTCTCGCGAAAGGGGACACAGCGGGCCGCCACGGACTATAGCAAATCGCTGCACGTGGTCGGAAGGTGTGCAAGTGTCCAGCAATGGTGGTCCCTCTACTCGCATCTGATCCGGCCGACTGCCCTGAAGCCGTACCGAGAGCTGTCCCTATTCAAACAAGGCATCAAACCGATGTGGGAGGATCCGGCGAATAGTAAAGGCGGCCAATGGCTGATAAGATTGCGCAAAAACAAAATTGAACGTGCCTGGGAGAATGTCTGCATGGCGATGCTGGGTGAGCAATTTCTGGTGGGTGACGAGATATGCGGCATAGTGCTGCAGACAAAGTATCCGGTGAGTGAGAAACCATTCCATTCTATTTGTACCATATTTACAACCTGGAAACCGTGCAAACGAGTGCTTTGCAATATTTTGAATTTATGTCTGATCGTATGCTGCAACCCTGCCGGCTCAACATATCTATTTTTCTATATATATTTGCCAAGATTATTGCCAATTGGCAAGTTCCTTTTCAGATTGAAATTCGTTTAAAAAAAGTGCCGGTCGCGATTCATTCATAAAAATCCCTGCGCATGTCAATTCTCTTTCCCGGCCGCGAATGGATTCCACAAACAAACCGTGCTGCTGCCGATTGTGGTTGCAGGGTTGGCGTAATACAGCCACACTCTGCATTTTTTTGTGCTTTTCGGTACGCGCTATTTGGTATTTTCATAGTAAGCCGCAGTAAAAGTGAAAACAAGAAGATGCCGAGCAAAAGAGAAAACAAAACACTTCAAAATATTAATAATTTTGGCCAACGCGCATGCAATTAAATGTTACCGTAACAAACAATTAACCCAGTAAAAGTGAATGCGTTCAAATCCCCGAAAGCATAATGGTGCGAAAATGCAATAAAGTAGTTTCGCATTTGCCGGCGTGAACCAATAAAATACCGATATATGCAAAGGCGAAATACAAGCACACAACGCAGTTGTAAAACATAGCAGGACCAGAGCACCCAAAAGTCCGTGGGAGCCGCCACCACCAGCAAGAGAGAACAAGAGCAAGCCCGCATTAGAGTCGGCGCACTCTTAACACCATCCACATACACACCGATACAAACGAAAGAGAGGGAGCACTGTTGGGGCTGTTGGGGACGGTCTTGGCTGCGCCGGATGGCGACGCATGTTTCAGATTGCCGAGAGCCAGCAAACGCGTCGAGTGTGCTTTTTAGCGATGTGCGGGTAAAACAATAGAGGCGACAACAACACATACAACAGCAAAAAACTAACCCAAGACATCATCAAGAGAGGGAGCGTGAGAGAGAGAGAGGAGAGGAGGTCGTCTCATATCATACGTCGCTGCCGCCGCCGCCGCCGCCCACCAACCGACCGACCGACTGACCGCCGAAGTGTATGTTCGTCATTGTTGCTGCCTCTGCCTCTGCCGCTGCCGTCGTCGACTGCGGCGACGAGAATTCGTACGCAACAAACGAAAATAAAACAAGCTAAGCAAAAGAGAAAGAACAAATAACGCCCACCGTATTGCCGCCCGCCCTTCACCTCTCGCAGCGTGGTTGTTGGAAGAAGAAGCCGAAGAGGAGGAAGAAGATAGCAGAGAATTGGAGCTTTGCGCAGAAATCGATTTTTTGCCCATTTTAAGAGATTTTTTGTGTTTGTGAGCCGGAGCCGGAGCCGAGCCTTGTCGGTATTTTTTTTGACTACCGAAATATACTGCAGACCGAGACACTCACACCAGCGCGAAACGTGTTCCACATGCAAATGCTGCGCTGCTGCTGCTGCTGCATTTCGTGAATATAGGAATAGCAAGAGGAGGAGTGGAGTCCTTGCAAAAGTGACGACACGATCAACAGCGCCCCACCCCTTACCCCTGCATAACAACTGTTAACCGTGTGTGTGTGTGTGTGTGCGTGAAGCGAAACAAACAAAAAAAGAGTACTTAATCTTGTGTGATTCCTAAACGGAAAATAGCAACAAAATAAACGCGATATCTGCACCCCGTTCCGTGCCGTCGTGAGTCACAATAATTAAGCAGCATTTGTTGTTGCTGCTGTGAATAGCTTTTTAGCTGCTACCTGGCATTGAAGAGGTGCTGCTGCTCTCGGGCTAGCGAGCGAGCGCGAAAGTCAGCGTGAGAGAGGGAGAAGAAGATAAACAGCAAGGAAATAATAATATTAAATAATAAACTCAGCAAAAAAAGTGCCAGTGAAGTATAAACCAACAAAAGTATATACTAAACCAAAAGCTAAAGCAAACGGGAGAGATAGATTGAGGCAAAAGAAAATCGGTTGTTGCGGTCACGAAAATCAACGGAAAATCAATAAAAGGTCTACCCCTCCCTCCCGTCGTAGGCAGTGGAAAAACGTGCAAACAAGTTGAGCCACACAGAAAGAAAAAAACGCTGCAAAAAATATAAAGAGAAGCAAAAGTAAAACTCCGCGCTCGTGTATATGTTTGCGCGTGTGTGTGTGACCGCGTGTGAGCTTGTGAATGCGCCTGTGTGTGTGTGTGTGTGCGTTAACGTCTAACTGCTAATCGTAGTCGTCGACGCCGCGTAACCAAAAGCTTACGTAAAGCTCTAAACAAAAAAATTAAGCACTAACTGCAACAGTTTTTTGACACACAAAACAACGAAGAAAACGCAACAAAAAATAAGCAGAAAAGAGAAACAACCAAGAAGAAGACGAAGATAAACAACGTAAACGTACACGTAAAAGTAAAAGCAAAAGCAAAACCAAAAGCAAAATGACAAAAGACAGATTAGCAGCCCTCCATGCCGCCCAATCGGACGATGAGGAATCGGAAGAGGTGGCGGTCAATGTGGATGGACACGATTCCTATATGGACGATTTCTTCTCCCAAGTGGAGGAGATACGCGGCATGATCGACAAGGTGCAGGACAATGTCGAGGAGGTGAAGAAGAAGCATTCGGCCATACTGTCGGCCCCACAAACCGACGAGAAGACCAAACAGGAGCTCGAGGATCTGATGGCCGACATCAAGAAGAATGCAAATCGCGTAAGAGGCAAACTCAAGGGCATCGAACAGAATATCGAACAGGAGGAGCAACAGAATAAATCAACGGCAGATTTGCGCATTCGCAAGACCCAACATTCGACGCTGTCACGGAAATTTGTGGAAGTAATGACGGAATACAATCGCACCCAGACCGACTATCGGGAGCGTTGCAAGGGGAGAATACAGCGTCAGCTGGAGATCACCGGTCGTCCCACCAACGATGATGAGCTGGAGAAGATGCTGGAGGAGGGCAACTCATCGGTGTTCACCCAGGGCATCATTATGGAGACGCAGCAGGCGAAACAGACGCTGGCGGATATCGAGGCACGGCATCAGGACATCATGAAGCTGGAGACATCCATCAAGGAGCTGCACGACATGTTCATGGACATGGCCATGCTGGTGGAGTCGCAGGGCGAGATGATAGATCGCATTGAGTACCATGTGGAGCATGCTATGGACTATGTGCAGACGGCAACTCAGGATACCAAGAAGGCGCTCAAATACCAAAGTAAAGCGCGACGAAAGAAGATCATGATACTGATATGCCTCACTGTATTGGGCATCTTAGCGGCCTCATATGTTAGCAGTTATTTCATGTAAATGTTTTTTTTTATTCAAATATGAAATTACTTAACGAACAAAACGAACAACAACCACTACACATCCCCGAGTACATTCATTCATTCATTCATAAACAATTCATTTTGATTCGATCGATGTCCCACCCAGAAAAAATGACGAAATAAACGAAAGAAATAAATATAAAATGTAAACCAGTGAGAAAATAGAAAAAGAGTACCCAATTTAGGCCTCGAATTATACAAAAATTATATACTAGCTAATACAATACAATATATACATGTGTAAATCTGTATAATTAGTTACGACTTTCATTCAAACTCTAAGCAAAAGAGTACGAGTCTCAAGAGCCACAGAAACGACACACACACGAATACACTAGAATCAAAAACAAAAGAAAAAACAAAAAGAATATAGCCACCACACAATACGAGTATAAAGAAACAAACAAAAAAACACCTTAACAAGTAATTGCTAAAAACAAAAAATACATGAAATTTTATTGATTATTGTTATAATGCGAAGCAAACAAAAAACAAAATCCACTTTGAAAGAGAGATGAATCTCGGTTTGATTTCTTTGTTTTTTTTTCTCTTCTTCTTCCATAAACTATAAATGCATTTAGTTTTTGTTTTTAGTTTCACAAAAGTAGAAAAAGCATCCACTCGAAACACACACCACACCCATTCATGCACTCGAAACACACAGCCATTCATTCACTTGCAACTTGCAGCAACAACAACAAAAATCTCTAGTTAACTTCTTGAATATTAATTCTAAACACACACAGAACAAAAATTGTTTATTATGCGATGAGATAATAACTATATTGACTATTTACAATTACTATAATGCTATTTACTTAACACACATTGTTCGTATATTTATTGAATGAATATTAAGTATATATGAATATATACATAAAATATACTATGCTTAAATGATAAATAGCCCGCCCCCAAACATTCTCAACAAAGAAAACAAAAAAAGCTGCGAAAGATTAAAAACTCTTACAAAAATGAGAGATCTACATATATGAAATGCCTTGTTAAACTCACACGAACAGCTCTCTCTCTCCCTCACTCTCTCGCTCTCTCTTTTAACACATATACTCAAATTAATCGGTAAACACTCTTAAATTGATAGTCGATTGTTCAGTCTTGTATTATTTTTTCCTTCCGTCTGAACGAGTTATTTTTCCGCATTGAGTAACTTTTCCGCTTTGTATCTATTTTCCTGATAAACATGTTTTAAACCAGTAAATACAGTACATTTGTTTAAGTTGTAAAGTTTTTTGATCCATTTTAGTTGAACGCTTTTTTGCACCAATTTCGAATATAATTTCATATGATTCATTTATTAACACCCACGCACTCAGACAGACACCCACTCGAACAAACACAACATTTTTCTGCTTTTTTTGAATTAACTAAATTTTAATTTGTATTTCTTTCTTTCCTTCCTTCCTTCCAAACATCCCCGTAACATCAACTACTAACAATTGGAATGCTTTAACCCCATAAAACACTATTCTGTTCCTCTGCGGCATGCGGTATTTCTACAAAAAACTGATTTAAAATACTGACCAAAAATCAATCACGAATCACGAACAGTATACAAGCAAGCAAATAGAGAATCGGCATGCAATATCCAGAAAATACTGGCTTTTCTACCACACTCTACATATATCCATAAATATTCCATAACTGTAGAGACCAATGCAACAAAGCTACCATATTTGTACGCCAATGTAATGTGAGTTGAGAGGTGAATGATTTGGGGATAATACACGAAAAAAGAGAAATGTTTTCGTTTTTAAGTAGGAATTAAAATTCAATGCACCAGACAAGAAAAACCTCGCACAAAAAGAATCAATCGGAAAATGCACCAGAAAGAGAAAATATCAAACGGGAATTGATAAAAATGGTCAAAATGCTTGCACATTTATTTTTTGTTTCGCTTTCAACTTTTTGAAAAGAAAGATAGAGAATGCAACAGCAACAGCAACAAACCGCACCTGCAACAAACAACTACAGCAACAATCAGCACTTTAACAACCGCGTTACAGTGAAAAAAAACAAAGAAACAATAAAATTATTATCGTATTATGTCAATCAATCAAACTGCCATTCAAAATGCAATCAAAAAACAAACAACAAGAAGAAAAGCCCCGAATAAACGCGACTCCGCCCGCGATAAGCCAGTGGTCCACCGCCATCCCATCGACCACCCCGCTTCCAGTTTCCAGTCACGTCACGAGTTCTCGATTCCAGATTCGCCAGCCTTCCAGTCGAAACAAAAAGCAAAAACAAAAAACACAGCTGCACTGCTTCATTCCCCAGAGTTGAGGTGAGTAAACAAAAAAAAAACAAAAAACCGGCATTAAATATTACCATATTTAACATATATTTTTATTAACAATTTTTGCAAATTACTCTCGTATTCTCTCTACTGAATAATTGTCGAAGGTCGTGTTTGATGTAACCTTTGGACATGCAAGGCATCGTCTCTCATCGAATCAATGCCAGCCCTTTGTTCTGTGGGGCTGTGACATTTGGGGATGGAAAGTGTCTAGACATTTGTATACTGACTGAGGGATACCCTACATTTACCAATAATTACCAAATCATGATGATTTTCACTAAAAAATCTCTTTCGTTTCTCTCGTCTGTTGTACCCTTGACATTTTGCCAGAGTATAAAAATAGATCTCCTTTCGATTTCCGGCAAATACCAAAATGAAGCAACAAATAGAACAGAACAAATTCTGCAGTTCAAAAAAAAAACAGAGAGCTTTTAAATGTCTTTTATTTTAGGCCAAATGGTGTGCTTCTCGTTCGTAATCAACACAATGAATATTTATAGTTTCAATAATTAGTAATAATTGCAAAAAATGTACTTATTGAGTATTAGTTCACCTCCCCCTTCGTAGTAATTGCATTATTAGTGCGGTTTTAATGGGATTTACATTCTGTGATTCTACAAAGTGCTGATCAAATGAATTCCCCTGAATGTTGGATGCATCACTCGACCGCCTGTGTAAAAAAAAAGAACGTTTAAAGTCAAGATGTTGTTATTTTTTTTGTGTGAATTTTTGTACAAAGCCTCGTTTTGTGCCGATGATCTCATGAGAAGACAGATACGCACAGCAAATACTTGAGATCAGAGATTCGAGTGTATTAAATACTTATTTATAGCATTTGGGTGCTTTTAAACGATTTAGAACTAATCGTTTAACTTAAGAATCATTGAATATATTGATTGAAAATCATAATTAAACATCAACTCAATTTTTTGGAGATGGTATTGATTAAAAGGCTATCCCTTTTGTGGGAATGTTTTGCCGATGACCTCTCTTCGAAAATAGCCTCTCCAGAAATACCTCTTGCGTGTTTAATTTCCAAGCATTATCTGTGATAGTTTTTGTTTTGGAATATTATATGCCATTTATCATGCATCATTGCCAACCCACACACACACAGACACACTTCCTGTCAGCGGCGACAACGCTCCCTCCTAATGTGACTCGAACATGCAATGGATTCCCGCATACGGAATGGAACACTACATAGAATTGAGTCATCAGTCGGGCATTGTATCAGACACTTCCACCCACACGCGTACAATATTCGAATGGGGGTTCTTTTGGCGACGATGAAAAAAAAAACGTATTTACATTCGGCTTCAATTGGATATTAAATGATAATAAGTTTGAGTTGCATTTCATGGGGGGAATAAACCGCTAAAGGGAATACAAATTCAAATCAGGTGTGCAAATTATGTCAATGAATCATCAGCATTATCTCTACAGATAAGAGAGGGTGTATATCACCCTATTACCTGCGAATGATAACACAAACGATGGCAGTCCATGCCCTTGTCTGTCATTCGAGCGAGCGAGGGAGGGAGTGAGGGAGATCCGTGCAAGCAGAGAGTTTTCCAGAGAGAGAGAGGGAGCAAAGAGAGTTTGCCCATCGAAATGCAATTAAAAGTTTCAGGTTCTTTCTCTCTCTTGAATGACATCTGCCTGCCGGCATGACGGCCTGCCTGCCTGTCGCTCGTTACGTACTCGTCGTGTAACAGTTTTTTTTTTTTTCAATGTCTTTGCCCTTCTGTGCGGGTTGTTGTCTATTACACGGCATTGTGTTTGCTGCCCGCCTCCCGTCTACCATGTGGTTGAAGTGCCCGCAGCAGCATTGTGTGTGCGAGGTGTGGAAAGGTGTTTGGGACTTGGGAAGCAGTAGGCCGCCCCACATGTGAGCAAGTTTCAAGAGGGTCTATCAGTGCGACTTTTTTTCTCTCTCTTTCGTTGTGTGCTGCTGCTTTTTCTGCCAGAAGCCATCCGGCCTCCTCCCACTGATGCACTACTTGCATTACAGATTTCATGCACTGCTTGCATACACTGTTTACAACTGCTTGTTTTACAATACGAGCGACTGGATTTCTGCCACTTGCTGCAGTCCCACGCCTCTTAGAAGTGAATATTCTACCGAGTCATCAAATCAATTTATGTATCGTATTCTCTTTATATATATTCATTTTTCTCTCTCTCTCTCTCTCGTATTATTTTGGTTTCTTGCCAAATCAAAGACGCAAGAAACTTACTTTTTTCCTCCACCATTTTCCATGATTACACGGATATTCCTATCGACGTTTATCGCTCTGTGTCTGTGCCTGTAGAGCTTTTGTGCCAAGTTTTCTACTTCATTTATTTAATTTTTTCTTGTTTGGTGACTCACGAATTTTTTGCCGTATTTTATTGTACGAATAGGTTGTCTGTCTGTCTGCCTACGAATTTGATTTATTGATGTGGCACTTTGGAGGCAGTCTCAAACATTCGTGCACATATATGTAGATGGAACATCTGTATAATACGAGTTTCCTTGACATGAAGTCATCTCTCAATTTCACTTTTGAGCAAAAATATAAAATAAAGTTTCGTAAGAAAGTTCTTGTCATCCCAAGATTCACTTACAATTCAGTCGCTCTATCTTTTGAAAACTTTGCCATCCGTTTGCTGCGGAGGGGAAGAAAGTTTCCTCGCATTTCTTTGACCGAGTACGGAATTTTCCATGCATAAAGGAAATGGAAGCGAAAGAGGAAGAGGCATCCCGTTCTGCATCCCGTTTCCTGCATTTTTCATGCAAAATTATAGCTTAAAATTCCTTTGGTTTTTTGCTTTTTGCACTTAAATCCAGGGCGTGGTCTTGGTATGAAATTTGTATGCCTAAACCGCAAAATTAGAAAGGGCTTACGGGGTAGGGGCATAGAGAAGGTAGATGAAAAGCCACCCGTCCTTCCTTATCGATTTTCCTTCATCGTTTCGAAACAATTTGTTAATTGAAAGCAAATTTCATGGAACGACAGATGCGACGGGACGGAGGTGTGTGACGATGACGATGAATCCATGGCTATGGCGCCCAAAGGGGCCATAAAAACTGGACAATATCCCGCCCTACACATGAACATTAAAAACATGTATGTGTGTGTGTTATCATTTTGCTAAATATTGCTGAACAACAAAATTTTAATGGGTTTTAAAATGTTTTTGTTTGAGCTCAGCAGCTCTGTGAAATCTAATTAAATTTTGAAGCAAAGCTTTTGGATGAATATCCTCAACAAACCATGAAATTTTATTATCTGCTAGTTTTAATTACAGTTGGGCATTGAAATAATACAGATTTTGTTGAAAGTTTTTGGAAAGTTTGTACTGTCAATTGCGTTAAACATGACCCTCTCTGGTGGTAGAAGATCAAGCAGTGTCACATTTATATGTAAGAATGGAAAGCAGTTGAGGGTTCTAATTAAAAAAGGAGTAGAGAAAGCAGTAAAGAATGATCAGATTGCCGGCTATCAAGCAGTGCAACAATTCCACTGAAAGACTAGCAAGCAGTATAATACACTAACTAAGCATGAGCAATCAGTTTAAACACGTATAATACTTGAATATACATAATAAAAAGCCTAAGGACGTTTTGGGTTTTTAATTTGTCACAACCTTCTCTATGGCTCATCCTTTCCTTTCCTACATATCTAAAAGAGAGTTCCCTTTGCTTGACCCTCTTTCTCTTGTGGTCTGTGTTTCGGGTAAAGTTCATTCGCCTACTTATTGTATACTCCCAAAGCATTGCTCCTGTCGTCCTCCTTTTTTTGGGCCAGATTATATGTGTATTTAATGCGGCTGCAGTATACAAAAAAAAAAAACTCAAACGAAATGAAATGATTTTTGTTTGGGACTTGTAACGAGTGGTGATGGAGGGACCTGACCCACTAAGAGCCGGACGCAGGACTACACTGGTGCTCCGAATGAATGGTGGGGTAGGGTGGTGGGGACCGAAAGGGTTCGGCCTCTGGCGAGGCTTTTGGCGAAATTTTCATATTTCTTCTTTTGTTCAGGACAAAAAAGAGGGAAATTTTCACATTTAAATTCCATTCGCTTGGCTTCATCTTCAATTTATTTATTTTTTTTTCAGTTTTTGCAGCCACACACAAAAGAAGAAGAAATTACCGCTAACCGAGCGTGAGAGAGCGAATGAGTGCAGAAGAGAGAGAGAAAGAGAGGGGAGTGTAAGGGTTGAGACTCTAAATATTAATGGTTATGTCGATGTTTTCTTATCTTTTGCTTTAATTAAATGAATATCTCTACGAAATAAAACCTGAAAATACTTGAAAAATTCAAGAAAAGTTTTCACACGGGGTTCGTAACGGTAAACTGGCTTTTACGTAATTAGATTTGGCCGCTGATTGGCACCTTTTTGCAGCCACCTTTGCTTCTTCTTCGTTGCTTGCCAACTCTTTCTATCACATTTCCCTCCCCCGCTTCAGCTTTCCTTTAATTAAGTTGTTCGTGAAAATTTTCCTTGAAACTGCACAAATTTGCATCTTCCGCCGAGAGCGAAAGAGATGGTTAGAAGCGGGCAAGAGCGAGAGAGAGGCAGAGTATCGCAATCAGGTGTAAAACGTAGAGTAATTACAGAGTTGTCAAAGAGATGAATGCAGAGAGAGAGAGAGACAGGCACAAAAAGTCAGACTGTCACAGACAGAGACTGGCAGAGAGAGAGAGAGAGACAGAAGAGTAGTAGTAGAAATCAACGGTGATATCTGCCAGTGTTGCTGCGGCACAACAGCACTTCCCAGCAATGGTTTCTCCTGCCAGGGTTGTATTGTGTGTTCGAGGATTTAGGATTTTGCTTCAACAAAGGGAAATAAATCTGATTTACAGTTAGAGACTCCAGCCAGAAAGAGCCTAAGGGATAAGGAGGGACGCCATTAAAATGGTAAAAAAGGAAACCCCTAGAAATTACCGTTGCATACTGCAAGGCATGCACATAATTTCATTTGACATTATTT